AACACTTGCCTTCCACCGCTTGGGGCGCGTGGGAAATGTTCAATCCCGCCCTGGCCTTCCTCCTCAGCACGTCCTGGGCCTTGGTGTCCAAGTACACATCGCGATATTTCTTCCCCATGATCCTCTGGGGGGGTAGCGCGCCCCCTGTCCTCTGGCAGGAAGGGGGCGCTACATGTAATTGGCGCAATTGCGCGACACATTACCCTTTGGGAGCACAAATAATGTTTGCGGTGCCCCCCAAGTCTTGATGTACCAGGCAACGTCGTTGCAGAAGTGCGCGTCGTCGTTACCCGTGAAATTCAATTTCACCTGGGGAGTTCATAATCGCTATAACACGCTACCACACATCATTTTTTAATGTTAAACCAAGCTGCCCCCCCCCCCCCGACTTCAGCTTCGCGAGCACGGCCTCCCGCAACTTCGCCCTCGGGAGTACGAGGTTCGGGCAGTACTCCACGAAGCGACCATACAACTGCGCATAGAAAACGAGAGTGTCAACCTCGGGCGCGGTCTTCTCCGTCACCGTCGCGCGGATCTTGCTGAAGTTGTTTTTTTTTGAAATGCTTGTTTTGCCGAGTTTCTCGCTCTCCCACTCCCCCGCCATTCCTTATTCCCCCCCCGTCCCTGCCTGCCGTCCCTCCCTCAAATCAGGGGGGGGCGCCCGATGTACTTCCAGAGGTCGTAGGACCCGTGCTTCTTCAGCGTCTTATCAAGGCAATGCCCGAGATCGCCAACGGAAGCCTCGGCGCACGACGCGCGCTGGCGCTTGTTCGCCCTCAGCGCCGACCCCAACATCGTTGATCTCTGCTAGGCGCGGGGCGGTAGTGAAACCTGGAGCCAGAACAGCTGCGGCGGCGATGCGGGTGCAATGATCGCACCAAAACATCATGGCGTGGACGCATGCAAGTACAGTGGAATGATGGTATTATCCCTTGCTTGATCTCAGGAATGATGAGGGAAATTCAGCAACATAGTGTGGACATATACGGGCGTAGTTAATTTTTGACTTGCCGCTTTGACTACAAAGTTAAAAGTTTAACTACTGATTTAACTAAATACTGAAACTTTAACTTAGCTTAGTTACTTATTTAACTACCTTATGCTTTAATATTTTAACTAAGCCGATGTCAAGGGCCCCGGACCCGAGTTACCCCGGATAGTTCGGGCGTCCAGAGCCCCACATCATCAGGGGTAACTCGGGTCAGGGCTAACTCGGGTTCCTTTTTCGGGAATCCAAACCCGAGTTACCCCGGATCCGAGTTACCCCGGATAACTCAGGCGCCCAACTCCCGTAAACCCAGTTCTGCCAGCGCCCGAACGACGACGACGAAGCCGACGGCGACGGAGCCCCCGCACGGGTCGGGAGCCTGGAGACGGGGGTCCCTCCTCCTCCTCCTCTTCCTCCTCCTCCTCCTCCTCTTCCTCCTCCTCCTCCTCCTCCTCTTCCTCCTCCTCCTCCTCCTCCTCCTCCTCCCCCTCCCCCTCCCCCTCCCCCTCCCCCTCCCCCTCCTCCGCCACGGCTCGGACGTGTGCATTTTTCCTTCGGCGAGGGCGATCGAGGAGCAGCCTTGATCATTTGGCGAAAAAAACCACGCACGAAACCGAAAAATGCACAGGGAATGGACGTCCGAGCGATGCCCAGATGCAAACGGGGGTCGGCCAGGGCGCCAGATCCTGCAGGATCCTGCGAAGACCCCCTCTGGCTGACCCGGGTTAGCGAGCCGCTCGTGGCCGCGAGGCGGCCGCGCATATTGGCTGACCCGGGTCTGCGAAGATCTGCGTTGCAGTTGTTTTTTGTCTTGCATTTAAGTGTTTTGGGTTTCCTGCTAACCCGGGTCTGGATTGACCCGGGTCAAAAGATCTCCGCACGAGGCTCTCGAGGAGCCAGGGGGGCTCCAGCAGGGCTCGAGCTAAACAGTGTTTTGGCAATTTCGTGGACCGTTTTCGTTTTGATTTCGTTTTGCAGCAAATGTGGAGCGAGGACATAACGAGGGATGACGAAAACAAAACGAAAGCGGAAAACACTGTTTAACTCGAGCCCTGGGCTCCAGAGTCGTCGGGGCAGGGCTCGGCGGCGGGCCGTCGGATGCCTCGGGGCTGGCCTCTCTCAAGCAGTGGCGAAGCGTCCTGGCCCGCGGTCTGCACGAAGTGTTTTCGGAACATTTCTGGCTGGGACTCTCTTGTTTTAACACATCGAGCTCATGTTCTGAGAGCATTGCGTTCATTATTCGAACCTTGTCGGGTTCTAAGATCATTTCTAAGAGTCGTCGGGGCAGGGCCTGGCGGCGGGCCGTCGGATGCCTCGGGGCTGGCCTCTGCGTGGCAGGATGGATTTCATTCGGAAAACGACAGGGTGGGCCCGGACTGTCCTGGAGAGTTTCTTTTCGGATTTCAATGTGGATTTCGTGCGGAGTTCTGTTGGCCAGGAATGAAGACCAGAAGAATCCACGCGAATTTCACTTCGTTTTTCGCTCGCCGCTTCGGACAAACATCCACGCAGAAATCCGCTGCAGCACGTCTGCAAGGCCTGTGCAATGAGGCCTCTCGATCAGCCGAGAAGGAACCAGAGCATGTGGGTCACCCTTTGGCGCGGAGAATTTCGGGCTCGCCTGTGTCAGTCACTCGTGCAGGTCATCGAGCGCAGTTTCGGCGTTCCCCCGATCGCTGATATCCGGACGAGGCGGCGTGACAGGTTGGGCGTGCTTGAGAACGCGGTCAGGCGCGGCTCGGGAGAAGTTGTCGGGATGGCGTTCAGTCGGGCTTGTTCCTCTGCAGGAGGAATGTTCAGCGAGAGTAGTCAAACAATAGTCTGGGGCTATTTTTTGAGCATTATATATATATATATATATATATATATATATGTGTGTGTGTGTGTGTGTCGTCCGCAATCCGCCTGTAGGGGAACACGCCCGACTTAAGGATGGCGCAATGCGAGGGGCGCCAGGGACTGGGCATGTCGAGGCGATCGTCGAAGCAAAAAGCCTCCAATGCCATCTTCCCGCAGATAGGCTTAAGTCGGGCCTGTCCCTCCACAGGAGGAATATTCAAAAATTGTTATAAAAAAGCTGGGGGCGATTTTTCGATTATTGTCTAGCACTTTCGGTGTATTTGTTTTTAAACTATTTTGCATTTTTCGTCCAAAATCCGCCTGCAGGGGGGCACGCCCGACTGAAAGATAGGTTCGCTCGGCAGACAGCTCGCACGCCGAGCGCAAGCGATGACTCCAACATGGATGGGATGGGCCGCGGGAAAGTTTCACGGTCAACCCGCATAGCAAGAATGAGCGATTTCCCAAGGTGGTCGTTTTTTATTCGTTGTTTTGTCGATCGGCTTGGGCTCTCGCACCCCCCCCTCCCCATCCATGGAATAGATCATGCCGGTTTTTGGTGCCTGTTTCGAGCAGTCGGGGCCTCCCCCACAATGGACGCACTGCTCCAAACAGGCGCAGCAAGCAGAGGTCCGGAGCCATACCACCCCCCTTCCCCCCTTCCTTCCAATGTCGGAACGCCGAGTAAAAAAACGCTCACAATAATGAGCGACTTCCCAAGGCTACCCGTGGGTCGTTGACAATAGGTATTTTTGGAGTCCCAGATTCCAATCTACTTCAAAAGCCACTACTTCTTTTAGGTCGGGCATGTCACCCTAGAGGCGAAACATTGGAAGAACATGAAAATATCCAACAAATCAAACGATGCAAAAACATACTCAACAAATCGTCCCCGTACTTGTTGTTTGACTATGTTGAAGTATTCCTCCTGTAGAAGGACATGCTCGATGTCATACTTCCGACTGGTGGCCACCCTTGCATCCTTCCCCTCATGCCCATCCTTGGCCGCTTCCGCTGGCCTCGCCCCGCTCGCAGAGTGCCCACCCAGCAGCCTCATCGTGCGTCCTCCTACCACACGGGCCGACTCTGCCTTCTTCGGTCCTTCACACCTCCCGCCCGCAGCCCGGGCCGCGGCACCAGCGCCAAGCTCATCCGAGTCCCGGGCACCTCGCCCCAGTTTGTTGGACAAAACACACAGTGGGAAAAAACACATGTGGGACAAAAACACACAGTGGGGACAAACACACAGTGTGTTTTTTTGTTCCCACAGTTTTTTGTTTCCCCCACGTGGTTTTTGTTTCCCATTGTGTTTTTGTTCCCACACGTGTGTTTTTTTCACAAAGATCCCACACGTGTGTTTTTTCACAAAGATTTGTCCCCCCTCCGAGGCCGTTCGGGGGCCTCCAAATGGGGTGGTGACCACACCATTGGGGTGCGTCGGTGGGGCTTCGGGGTCACTGCACGGTCTTGGGACTCGAGCCCCCCTCCGAGGACGTCTCGGGCGATACGGGGCCTCCGTGGCCCCACCACCGTGCGGTGACGGACCGTGCGGCGATGTCTCGCGTGGGATTCCGAGGCCACCGCACGGTCTGTCACCGCACCGTTTCGGGACTCCTAAGTTCTAAGAACTTTTTGTGTGGTCTGCGCGAAATTTTATGAGAACATTTCTGGCCGAAGCTGTCTTGTTTTAGCACAGCGGGCTCATGTTCTAGGAGCATGGTTTTGGTCCTTAGAACATCTCTGGCCGAAGCCGTTCTCCTCCTCTCCCGCTCCCTTTCGGCCTTGCCGCCACCCTCTGCGCCAGCGCGCTAAACACGTTTGCGGAGGCCACCCCCCCAGCGCCGAGCGACCGCCGGCGCCACTGCCAGACAGCTGCTCCTGCCGGCCTCGCCAGGAGGAGGAGGAGGAGGAGGAGGAGGAGGAGGAGAATGGGGGAGGAGGAAGGGGAGGAGGAGGAAGGGGAGGAGGAGGAAGAGGAGGGGGAGGAAAGGAAATGGAGGAGAAGGAGGGGGGGGAAAGGAAATTGAGGAGGAAGAGGAGGAGGAGGAGCAGCAGAAGGAGGGGGGGGGAAAGGAAATGGAGGAAATGGAGGAGGAGGAGGAAACGAAATGAAGGAGGAGGAGGAGGAGGAGGGAGGAAAGCAAATGGCCCTTCCCCCCTCCGCCTCGCAGAGGCGCCCGGGCCCGGCGACTACGACGTGGACGCCCGGGCCGGCCGCGCGCACTACCCGTCCTGCCGCAGCGCGTTCAGCTCGGAGACGAGGCCCCCGCCTCGCAAGGGCCGTCCGCGCGCCACGCCTTTGCACGGTGTCGACGCCGTCGCTGGCTTCGTCGCCACTCGCGTCGCCCTTGCTGGGGCCCTCCTCCTGACGAAGAACAGACCACATAAACATTAACTTTTGGCGATCCGCGCGGGGTTCTTGGATCCGCGCTGGGCCCCCCTGGCGGCGCCTCCGGCGCCGCCCCTGGCGCGCTCCGCGCGCCAGGGAGGGGGGTCCAGCTCAGATCCAAGACGCCCGCGCGGAGCGCCAGAAGTTTATGCTCCTGTGGTTTCTTCTTCTCCCATCCCTCTAGGGGGCCCTGAAGGGCTCCTTTGACGGGCCCCTGTCAGGAGGGACAGAAACACGCAGACACAATGAATCGTCGCTTCCCAGGAAAGTATGGGAAAATATGGGAAGTGGGGGGAGACAAAAGCCCGGAAAGTATTGGAAAATATGGGGGATATTTCTTTTTTATTTGTGTGCCCCAGTTCCCCTTCATCCTGTCTGAAGCCCTCGCTGCCCCCCCCCCAGTTAGGGCCTCCCCCCTCTAACTAGCGAGGCCCAACGCCGTGCCTCCGCGGCGGGCGTCGGCGTCGGCGTCTTCGCCGGCTCCGCCGCCGCCGCGCGTCGCCCTTGCTGGGTCTTTTGCTGGGGCGCCCTTGGCGCCACTGCCCGACGCCCCCCGCGCATGCCTCAGGAGGGGAAAGAAACACACGGACACAATGAATCGTCGGTTCCCCAGAAAGTATGGGAAAATATGGGAAGGGGGGGGGAAGACAAAAACCCGGAAAATATGGGAAAACATGGGGGGAATCGTTCTATTTGTGTGTGTGTTTATTTGTGTGTCCCAGGGCCCCTTCACCCCGATAGGGCAGGGGACACATTTCGGAGGAGGGTTGGAGAGAGGGATCGGGCAAACGTAAGAATCGAGTAGGCCGGAACTCGGGTTTGCCAGCTTTTCTTTGGCGAGCGCGTCCTGGATCTTGACGGTCCCGCGTTCGTGGGATGTCTGCAGCGGGAGCCCGCGTCAAATTTCAGATTGGGTCTCGTCATTTTTATTACGGCCCCCGTCAGGCCAACCCGAGTCCCCAGTACGCGAGTCTTACGTCTTCCGAAGGGAGGCAGGAGGGTGGAGGAGTGAGGGATCGTGGATTTGTTTGTTGCTATTGTTGTTGGTGGTGTTGTTGTTAGTGTTGTTGCTGTTGTTGCTGCTCCTGTTGCGGTTGCTGTATTTGTCGTTGTTGTTGTTGTTGTTGTTGTTGTTGGTGTTGTTGTTGTTGTTGTGGTTGTCGTTGTCGTTGATGTTGTTGGTGTCGTCGTTGTGTTTGTTGTCGTTGTTGTTGTGTTGTTGTTGTTGCTGTTGCTATTGTTGTTGGTGGTGTTGTAGGTGTTGCTGTGTCTGGTATGGTTGCCGTTGTCGTGTTGTTGTGGTCATGGTTAGTTTTATTGTTGTGGTTGTCGTTGTTGTTGTCGTTGTTGTCGTTAGTGTTGTTGTTGTTGTTGTTGTTGAACATTATTACTTCTAAAGAAATATTATTGTTGAGACCCCTGGTGCGCGACCCCCCTCCAAAACCTAGGCCGCAGCCTCATTTCCTTCATTTTCTAGCGAAAGCTTCAGAAAAGTGGATTGTGTCCGGATCCGGTTGTTTTGTTGTAATCCGTTTTCCCTTGCAAAAAACACTATAAAATGAAAATTCTTGTTCTTACTTGATCAAATTGCAAGAATCCCTTGCAAAAAATAAGGTAAAGTGGACATTCGTGCGCGCAAGACGAAATCCTTCCAAAACCTTAGTGTTCGAGCGATTTTAACATAAAAACATCAAAAAACCAATGGTTTTTCAACAAAAAAATGTCAAAATCTCATCCCGCGCGCTCTTGCGGATTCGTAGGAAACCCAACACTTTTTAAACATTTCTGTCAAACGGGCTTTTGCGAGCAACTTTTTCGAACTTCTGCGACAACGGTTGCGCACCTGCCAGGGCCATCATCCCTGTCAAATAATACCATGCGGGACACATTCGTTTTTTCTTCGCGCGCGCACGCCGAAATCTCCAAAAACCATTGGGTTCTGTGGGTGTGTACCCCACGCCAGTGTAGTAGCCACGGTCGTCCGCACGCCACGAAGTGAAGTGTCCCAACGTCATAGGGCGGGAAGCTGGGTTTGGGTGGTCGCGAAGAGTCGTTTGGATATTTGGTAGAGCTTGAACTGCCCCCCCACGAAGTGGGGGTATTGTCTCGCGTCGCATGAAAACCCTGGCACTGGTGAGAACACTGAGCGTTCGGGTAAAATGATTGTTGTTGTTGTTGTTGTTGTTGTTGTTGTTGTGATTGTGGTTTGGGTTGTTGACTGTTGGTTGTTGGTTGTTGGTTGTTGGTTGTCGTTGTAGTAGTTTTGTAGGTGTTGTTATTGTTGATTTGTCGTTATCGTGTTGCTCTCCCCACCCGTGCACGCTGTACTTTTCAATTGAAGTGCCCCCCTCAGGGCTCGCGCCTTATTTTCTATAAAGGAACAGATTCCTGCTCGAGCTGGGCCCCTGGCCCCCCGGTTACAACAACAACGGCTCCCGCCTGATACGTCCTCACAATTGATTCCGAAATCGCGCTCTCGCGCGGGACGTCCTCGTAATGTATGCAGGAATGGCGCTCTTGCATGGGACTTCCGCGCAAGTTATTCAGACGCCGCGCCCTCGACACTCATGAATCACGCTCTCGCGCTTGCTTTTCTCACGATGTATTTGGGAATTGCGCTATTGCTCGAGACGTCCTCGCGATTCAGGCAGGGCTCACGTTTCAGCAACCCGTCTGTTCGACCTGGCCGCCTGGGCCCGCCTTCCCGACCCGCCCGCTAGGGTCTGCCGGCCCAGTCTGCCCGTTTGGTTCTGCCACGTGTTTTCTGCTCCTAGCCCTCCCTCCTGTTAATTTTTCTCGAGATCCATCTTGCTCCGCCCCCCTTACATCCGTCCTCTCTTGCCCTGTTCTAGGGGCTGCACAAGATTAGCGTAGCAGATAAGGACGATATGCCCCCACGGGGGTACGATCAAAGATGAAGAGAGCGGGTACCAAGTGTTTGGGATATACGTGTTGTTTGGCACGCGAGCAGATAAGAACGAACAGCATTAACATGTATAATGTTGTTGCTGTTGATGATGTTGTTGTTGATGTTGCTGTTGTGGTTGCTGTTGCCGTTGAGTTTGCATTGCTATAGAATGATTATTAAATCGCTTCGCTCATTCCGCCGGCCCGTGATATGGCATCGCTGGTTTTTGTCTGTGTGTTCGTTGCCCATGTTGCGCTCTTGGGGGCGGGTGTCGTTCGGACGCGTTGCGTGGGGAGTTTTGATGGCGAAGCAGTTCCCTGGGGGTCGTCTCTCGATGGGGCGAAATAGGGTCGTCGTCAAGATGCTTCTTTGGGGGGCCTCTTGGGGTCTGTTGAGAGGCCGTTCGGGGGCGCCTGGGAGACATGTTTGAAGCCTTCTGGGGCTTCTTTTGGGCCTCCTGGGAGTCTCCTGGGGCCTCTTGGCGACATCTTGGGGCCTCTTGGAGGCCTCTTGGGGCCTCTTTGGGACCTCCTGGGCGCCTTCTGGGACGGAGGGCTCCATTTTTGAGTTCTCGGTATCCCTCCTGAGTCCCTCTTGGGCCCGTCTTGGGGCCTCTTGGTCCGTCTTGGGCGGCACTTGGGCCGTCTTGAGGGCTCTCTTGGGTCGTTTCGGCGCCGTCTTGGGAGCTTCGTGGGCCGTCTTGGAGCGGTCTTGGGGGCCTCTTGGGCCGTCTTGGAGCGTCCGGAAGCCGAAAAAGCCAGAACACAAAAAACATCGAACAAACCAATGAAAATCAACGATTTTGGCCTCTTGGGGCTCTCTTCGGAGGCCTCTTGGAAGGCTCTTGGGGCGTCTTGGAGGCCTCTTGGGCTGTCTTGGGGGCCTTTTGGGCCGTCTTGGGGTCATCTTCGGCGTCTTCGAGCGCTCTTTGGGCGTCTCGGGGGCCTCTTGGGCAGTCTTGGGGGCCTCTTGGGGCACTCTGAGCGCGCTCTGGGGAGCCTGAGAGGCCGCACCCAGAAGGAAAACCATCTCTGAGTAGACTTGGTCGGGCGGCGGTCGGGCGGCGGTCGGGCGGCGGTCGGGCGGCGGTCGGGCGTTGGTCGGGGTACTTTTCGCCGGGGGACCCCCAGGGGCCGCCCCGCGCGCGCGAACTAGAAATACTGTTAATACTGTTAATCAGTTACCGGAGATCTTAGCACGCCCTGGCCCGTTGGGCCGGCGAATTGGTGGCTCCCCTCCAATGCACATTGTGTTCTTTCCAATGAAGGGCCCTTCCAGGGGCTCGCACCCTGTTCTTTTTGTGGGGGACAGTCTTGGGTCTCAGAATTGTGTTGTTGGCCTTCGGTTTATTACAACAACAACAACAACAACAACAACAACAACAACAACAACGGCTCCCGCCTGATGCTTCCTCACAATATATTCCCAAATCGCGCTCTCGCTTGTGATTTACATACAATGTATGCAGGAATCGCGCTGCTGCGTGGGATTTCCTCGCAATGTGTTCAGACGCCGCGCCCTCGATACTCAGGAATCACGCCCTCGCTGAGGATATCCTCACGATTCACTTATGAATCACGTAATCGCTCGAGACCTCCTTGCTGTTCATGGAGGACGCACGCTTGAGCAACCCGCCTGCTCGACCTTGGCCGCCTGGGCCCGCCTTGCCGACCCGCCCTCTAGGGTCTATCCGCCCGATCTGCCCGTCTGGTTCTGCCACGTGTTTTGCTCCTAGCCCCCTCCTGCTACCCTCTCTCGTGCTCGAGATTGCCCCTTCCCCATTGTCCCTGCCTTCCATCCGTCCTTTCTTCCCCTGCCTCAGGGGCTGCACGAAATACTTCTTGTCCGTCGGCGGCGAGGCAGACAATCTGCTCCAGCGTGGCAGCGATGCAGGGGGACTACAAAACGAATTGGCCGGCATGCAGGAGGAGGGAAAAGAAAAGACGGGGCGGCCGCGGGAGGGCGGGGGGGAGGGCGTGCACGAAATACACGCTGCAGGCGAGACAGATATACCCCCTAGGGGGTACGATCGAAGACGAAGAGGGCGGGTATCGAGAGTTTGGGATATATGTGTCGAGTGGCACGCGAGCAGATAAGAGCGAACAGTCTGAACACGAGGGTTGCTGTTGCCGTTGCTGTTGGTATTGTTGTTGTTGCTGTTGTTGCTGTTGTCGTTTTTGTTGGTGTTGGTATCGGTGTCGATATTGTTGTCGTTGTTGGTGTTGCTGTTGAGGCTGTTGGTGCTGCCGTTGTGTCTGTTGTTTTTGGTACGTTTGGTGATGTTGTTGTTGTTGCTGCTGCTGCGGTTGTTATCGTTGCAGGTGTTGTTGCTGTGGTGGTGGTGGTGGTTGTTTCTGTTGTTGCTGCTGCTGTTGTGTTTGTTGCTGTTGTTGCTGATGGTCCTGCTTGGGCCCCGGGTGGCATCGGGGAAGGAGAAGGAGGGGGGAGGAGGGAGGAGCAGAGAGGACAAAGAGACACCGTTCCTTCCTGTGCGATGCGACCAACTTGCACAGAGGAGACGGGCCTTGGCTTGAAATGAGTGTGTTCACGATAGCCGTGATGCAGATGTTTATGGCATAGATGCCACAGGTTGACTGTGCCCCAGTCTTGAATGGCAGCAGTGGCCGAAGCCGTACACCTCCGCCGAGCTCAAATGGTAATTTTTCTCTTTGAGTGGCATGCTCGACGCAGGCTATGTGTGTTTGAACGGGTCGGTCCTGGACCCGCGGACGTGCAAGCTTGCCCGCGCAGGTTGCAGAGTTGCAGACCTCAGCATTGGAGGTACGCAGTAGGTTTACTGCTTGGGCCCTTCCCCCACCCCCTTCAAATGGCTGGTTGTGGTGAAACGAACGCCCCCCCCTTGTTGCCCTCAGACATCGGCTCAGTTTCGACGGCTAGTGCATCGATTGCATACGTGTTAAGCCTGTGATGTGACGGCCCATATAAGGATTTATACCAAGTGCTGTTTGCCTAGGTTTGGCAGGATCTGTCTGATGCGAACACCGCGATGCCACCAGTTAAGTCACATCTGAGTCGGCCTGCAGCTCTGCGAGCACGGGCCTATTATTCGGCGTGGATAGGCAACCGCGAGGCTAATCGTTTGGCAAACAATGAACCCAGCACTAGGCTAGCCTCCCGAATGTTCGCTTGGGCTACAAACATGCGGCGGCCGATCAGGAGTGAGGCTGGGGAGGCGGCACATCGAGAAGCTTGGACATTGGGTTACTCCTGCCGGGCACACGTTCTTGCGAGGAGGGAACGCTCCCGAGACTTGCCTTGGGGATGGGCTCAGTGTTCCTTAATTGTTGTACAACTTGCCTTAGGTTTTCCTTTGGTTTTCGATGGGAAGTCGAAGTTGAACTTCTGGCAACAAAAAAGGGGGCTCGTTCCTTATTCAGGGTTCCTTAGGTCAACGCCTCGACTGTGTAGGCGGCAGCTGTGCTCTAATGGCAGAAGGTCGCAGAACGAGCGAGCATTCGTGAGAAAGGAGGGGAGGGAGGGAGGGAGGGAGGGAGGGAGGGCTGATGAGGAGGCACCGAGGGAGAGCCAAGAGTTATGAGGTTCCTATTTTGGCCTTGGCCACCAGGAATTTCGAGCACCGATGCAGTGCCGATGCTTGAGGGCTTTTACGTGTCGGGCCCTGGGAGACAGTAGTTCTGCGTTGTTTCGACACTTTCCGGGTGCTCGGAATTATTTCTGGGATGTGGTCCTAAAGTACGATGGGGGCAATATAAGCCAAGAGGGCGTATGTACCGATCCTGAGCTCAGGATGGGCCCGGCCAGGATCGGTGCATATGTAGCAGTTCCGGCGCTTGCAGGAGGCAGCGACGCAAGGACGGACGCAGGCTTGGAGGATGGCCAGAGGTCTAGCAGCGTTGGCTGGGCCCACCTCTCGCCCGTTGGAGGTGGAGGGGACACAGGGTAGCGTCTTGTCGTGTCAACCGGCGGCGACCCCGCCGCCAGATACAGTGGGCGCCCATGCCAAGAGACACCTTGCTTGCCTCCAGGGTGCCCTGGGTTTCTTGGGTTTCGATGGTCCTTTTTATGGAAAGCGCGGCACTCTCACACCAAACATCAGTGGACGTCTTGCTGTCTCAGGGTTCGGTTTCTTGTGGAAGGTTTCCTGTGGTCGAGCCCCTGCTGTAGGATACGGAGACAGGCAGGTTCGCGTTCGCGCCGACGCGGCCTCGTCTTGCGGCACGTGCGCTCAGGGCGAGGGCGGGGGGAATCCTTTGGGTCACCGCGGAGGCACACGAGCGGCGACATGCCCAACGGGGAGTCGGGGGGATACACACACACACACACGCACACACACAGACAGACACAGACACACACACATACACACACACACACGCACACACACACGCACACACACACGCACACGTACACGCACACGCACACGCACACGCACGCGCACACGCACGCGCACGCGCACGCGCACACGCACGCGCACGCGCACGCGCACGCGCACGCGCACGCGCACGCGCACGTGCACGCGCACGCGCACGCGCACGCGCACGCGCACGCGCACGCGCATGCGCACGCGCACGCGCACGCGCACGCGCACGCGCACGCGCACTCGCACGCGCGCGCACACGCGCGCGCACACACGCACACACGCACACACGCGCACACGCGCATTCGCGCGCACGCGCACGCGCACGCGCACGCGCACGCGCGCGCACATACGCACACGCACACACGCGCACACGCACACACGCACACACGCACACACGTTCACACGCTCTCTCTCTCACACACACACGCGCACAAACACACGCACACACGCACACACGCACGCACGCACACACACACACACACACACTATCCTATCCTATCCTATCCTATCCTATCCTATCCTATCCTATCCTATCCTAGCATTTCCTTTCCTATCCTATCCTATCCTATCCTATTCTCCTCCCCTCCTCTCCCTCCTCCCCGCCCCCCCCTCCCCTGCTCCTCTCCCTCCCCTGCCCCCCCCCCGGGCCGCCGCCGCTTGAGCCCATGATGCCGCCGGGGGGCGCCGCCGCGGGAGCCGGCGGGCGCCGGTGGTGGCAGCGGCGCTCTGTCTCTGGAGCCTCCGGGCGGGTGCGGGATGGGTGGGTGCAGTGGCGGGGAGGAGGTGGACGGCAGGGAGGAGGATCAGGTGGCCAGGTCGACCCCGTCACGACTGCATGTGCGGCCCGCGCGTCGCGGGCCGTGGAGACGCCACGAGGATCGCCTCTCTTGGTGCGAGCGCAGCAGCAGCAGGGAGGAGGAGCGAGGGGGAGCGCGAGCGAGGGAGGAGAGAGGAGTCAGGCGGCTGGAGGTGGAGGGGTTCTCCGAAGGGCTCAGGCGACCCGTCCTCCTCCTCCTCCTCCTCCTCCTCCTCCTCCTCCTCCTCCTCCTGCTTCTACTCCTATTCCTCCTACTCCTACTCCTCCTCCTCCTCCTCCTCCTCCTCCTCCTCCCTCCTGCTCCTCCTCCTCCTCCTCCTCCTCCTCCTCCTCGTCCTCGTCCTCCTCCTCCTCCTACTCATCCCCCTCCCCTTTCTCCTCCTCCTCGGGTCGCCTACGGCCCCGGGGGAAGCCGTGCGGCTGGAGGCAGGGGAGGAGCGGGGCACGAGCCCGCGCCCCTGACCGCCCAGCACGCGAGGCGCATCTCTGGCGGCAGCGCGGGCGCGGCTAGCGTGCCAGGCCCCGTGGGGTCCGCGCTTCCGCCTCTCAACTTGTTTGGACGAGGGAACCTGCTTCAGTATCGTTTGACCGACCCCCATCCCGATCCCCACCCATCCCATTCGAGACCCCCGCCAAATTACCCCCCCAGTTTGGGATACACCCCTAGAAACCCGAAGGGACCGGCCTATATCCCCATCTGGGGGGGGAAATCGGCCAGCGGGGCCCAGGCCACGCCGCTGGGGATAGGGATCGGATAAACGATGCCCATGCTATGTGGTCCTTCGTGGTGGCCTTGTGGAAAACAATCGGTGGAGACGAGGCACGTTGCCAAGTCATTGCCAGACGTCTACCGTATGCTCAAAGCAGGTTTGAACAATGCAAGAAACATGATTGAAACATTTGTTCAACACATGCAGCTCCAACGCATGAGACACACTCACACCGTTTAAATCCAATGGTAGGGTTGTTAGAGTGTCCAGTGTCATGGTATCCACAATGATCGCCTCAGAGGGTCCCTTGTTTCTTTTGAGTTCCGTCGGATTTGGGTCGACGTCTGGACGAGATCCGGACGAACGGGCGAAGAGGGGTGGTCGAAATTTGGACGACATCCAGCTGAACGCACGCTTCTAAGAAGGCCTCGGAGCGTGGTTTTGAATTTTCTGGGCCATGGCGCGCGTTGGGCGCCGCCCCCTTCCCATGCGCCTCCGGCACTGCAGTTCCGATGTTCGTTGTCTACTGTGGTGTTTGCAGGCTGCTTTTGACGTTCACGGCCTAGGTTAGGGGAACAAGAAGTGGCATAATCATAATTATGCTACCCAAGAGCCCCACATACTGCTTTTATCTTTCTTGTGTTTGTTTACCAAACACTTGCGCACTCCCTTATGGTGTCGAGAAAGTGACACGCTTGCCACGCTTTCCGACCCCGGGGCGGATAGCGCCCCGCCGTGCTCCTCTCAACCCCTCTTCGCAGCCCCTTACGGTGTCGAGAAAATTGCCCACCTGCCACGCTTTCCGACCCCGGGGCGGATAGCGGATGGCCCCGGGTCTCCCTGGGCTCCCGGGAAGCAGAAAACGGCCAACGACTTCGCGTCGCGTCCCATTGCCCTCAGAAATGCATGTTCTAAATATTGGTCCGGCCCCGGGGCTCTGAGACATTTATTTTCTTAATATTGGCCCCTGCATGGACCCTCCGTGGTGCTGGGGCCCTGAGAATTACATGTTATAAATCTTGGTCCGGCCCCGGGGCCCTGAGAAATTCATTTTCTAAAGATTGGCCCTTGCGTGGGCCCTCCGTGGTCCCAGGGCCCTGAGAAATACATTTTCTGAATATGCCAAACATAGTCAGACCTCCGGCGGCGCAGTGCTGTCGTCTTTATTCCTTTGCCTCTTTTCTTCCGCCTCCTGCTCCATTTTTTGTTTTCTCATTGGCACATTCGATTGTAGTGTCGTAGCCTTTCGACGTAAAATCTCCGGGCGATGCAGGCAATGTTCGCAATGTGAGAATGCGGAATTCGCGTTCGACGGAAACTCCCCCGCAAGATATCGTTCGAAATTCGCGCGCGGTCTAAGGCGCCAGACACAAGTGGCAAACTAGATCGCGGAGTCGCGTTCGACGGAAAGTCTCCCGCAAGATATCGTTCGAAACTCGCGCGCGGTCTAAGCCGCCAGGCACAAGTGGCAAGCTAGATCGCACAAGCAATAGTTCCTGTGGGTGCGCCTCATGCCCAATACGAAAGCAGATGCCTTATGGAAGGAGTGGAGACGGTACTTTTTGGCGTTCCTCCTTGCGCCGGCGTAGGGTTTAATCAACGCTTTCCAAACGTTCTCCGTCAAGGCGCATGGTGGGTGGTCAGCCCCGCCTGCTGCTGTGCCTGGCGACTGGCGCGGGTAGAGCCCCCACCCGTTGCGCAACCCCTACGGTGTCGAGAAAATGCCGCGCCTGCTGTGCTTGAACGACTGGCGCGGATAGGGCCCCCACCCCTTGCGCACCCTCTATGGTGTCGAGAAAGTGCCACGCCTGCTGCGCCTGAGCGACTGGCGCGGATAGGGCCCCCACCCCCTGCGCACCCTCTATGGTTTCGAGAAAGTGCAACACCTGCTGTGCCTGGACGATTTGCGCGGATAGCGCCCCCACCCTGTGGTGTCGAGAAAGTGCCACGCCTGCTGTGCCCGAACGACTGGCGCGGATAGGGCCCCCAGCCCCTGCGCACCCCCTATGGTGTCGAGAAAGTGCCACGCCTGCTGTGCCTGAACGACTGGCGCGGATAGGGCCCCCACCCCCTGCGCACCCTCTATGGTGTCGAGAAAGTGCCACGCCTGCTGCGCCTGAGCGACTGGCGCGGATAGGGCCCCCACCCCCTGCGCACCCTCTATGGTGTCGAGAACGTGCAACACCTGCCACGCTTTCCGTGTGGTGTGGTGTGGCGTGGTGTGATGTGATGTGATGTGATGTGCGTGTGTCTCCTGATGTGGTGTGATGTGACGGATGGTGTGGTGTGGTGGGGTGGGGTGGGTTGGGTTGGGGTGGGGTGGGGTTGGGTGTGGTGTGGTGTGGTGTGGTGTGGTGTGGTGTGGCGTGGTGTGGTGTGGTGTGATGTGGTGTTGTGTGGTGTAGTGTGGTGATGTGTGGTGTGGTGTGACGTGGCGTGGTGTGGTGTGGTGTGATGTGTTGTGGTGTGGTGTGTGTACGAGCGAGAAGGAGGAGGTGGAAGTGAACGCGGGTGTGACGCGGGTGCAGAGAACATCAAAACCCCACTTAGAATGTGGGCAAACATTCTGAGGTTCGCACGGATTTCTCGGATCGGCGCTGGACCCCCCTCCTTGGCGCGCCTTGGCATCGCTCGGGTGTGCATGTTTCCTTCGGCGAAGACCATCGAGGAGCATCCTTGATCATTTGGCGAAGAAACCACGCACGAAACCGAAACAAACACAGGGAATGGACGTCCGAGCGATGCCCAGGGCGGAGCGCGCCATGGGCGGCGCCGGAGGCGCCGCCGGGGGGGCCCAGCGCCGATCCGAGAAATCCGCGCGGACCTCCGAGTTTGTATGTTCATGTCACTTGTTGTTCCCCTATGGGTGGTGTTGACAGGCCCATTACGCATGCTCGCAGGCATGTTGCTGCGCTCGCAGGCTAATGTCGCACGTGCAGGGTCCGGAAGTTGTTGCGCACGCGCGCGAAACTAGTTTGGTATTCTGGTGTTGGCAGGGCCGCGAGAGCTGGTGTAGTGGCACTGGTAGCAGAAATAGTGGCAACAGTCGCGCTAATACAAGTGATATTAGGAGGAGGGGAGGAGGAGGAGGAGAAGGAATTAGAGGGGGGAAGGGGGTGTCCTTGTAATCGTCGTCGTGGTTGTCTTGAGGTCGTGGTGATCGTTGTTGTGCTTGTCATAATTGTTGTCGTCGTCGCAATCGCCATGGTCGTCGTGCTCAGTTTGGTCGTAGCGATAGACGTCGTCGGTGTGTGGTCGTCAACGTGACCGTCGTCGTCACAGTCGCAGTCACCGTCGTATTCATAATCGTTGCCATCGTCGTCATAGTCGTCGTGATCGTCGTCGCGGTCGTCATCCTGATCGTCGTCGTGTGGTCGTCGGGATCGGAGTCGTAGTAGTCGTCCTGGTTTGCGTTGGCCTCCTGAGAATGGTCGTCGTTGTTGCCGCGATCGTCGTCGCGATCGTTGTAGTAGCTGTCGTCGTCGTAAGTATAGATCGTGGGTGGCTGTATTCTTCAAGCATTTTGCACGCTTGTACCTCAAGTTCTTGAGGCAGAAGGTTTTCCGAGAAACAGACAAATTGCATAAACATCATTTCTCGGAGTTCCTTGGGATTTCTGTGATCGGAACTGGATTCCCCAATGGCGCCTCTGGCGCCACCCCTGGCGCGCCCCGCGCGGCAGGGAGGGGGGCTCAGCGCAGATCCAAGAAATCCGCGCAGGTGCTGCGGTGAACGCGGCTGCTGTGCTGCTCGCAGGTGCTGTGGTGCACGCAAGCACTGTGGTGCACGCATTACATATTTGAGTCAATTTTCGAGTTATGCTTCGGTTCTGGAGGCGGTAGAAGCAGAGTTCTATAGCACCCTTTACTGGACAACGTAGATGCAACACAGCGGCAGCAAATACCAACACAACACATGCTCGAAGGAGAGCGTGGAGGATGCAAACACTGTTGCGCTGCACGGTGGTGCACGTGTGCGCCGCGCAGTACATTGGCATAGGCGATGTGGTGCACGCGGCTGCGGCGGTGCATACTGTGCTGCACACTGTGGTGCTTGCTGTGATGCGCACGGGCGCTTTGGTGCCAGAGCCACGCGGCGTTATGCCCACCCCCCGCCGCCCCCCCTCATAACGCGCTTTATGGTCGCGAAAACTACACGCGCTCTCGGAGGTCCACAGAGGCTCCCTTTGAGGCTCACCCGAGCTCAATGATGGAAAGGAGGAGGCCGGCCGGGACGGGCGGGAGGGGGACTGGGAGTAGGAATGGGAGCGGGAGGGGGTTCGGTAGCAATTCATGTGAACCTTGTGTATCCTCGTAGCTCCGTCTCTAGAGTGCACGAGCGTGCGCTAGCTCCTGGTATTCGATGAGAAAGCGCCGATTTAGCGTAGGCTATGGTAGATTTGGCGTCGATGTGCGTCGATGAAAATTCGAAGGGCCAGCAACATGTCATGGGAGACTCCCGTGTGTTGTTACAGACGGGGAGCTGGGGAGGGGCAGGGGGAGGGAGGATGGGGAGGAGCGTGGGGAGGCAGGATGAAGCAGGAGAGGGAGAAGGGAACAGGAGAGGGGAGGAGGAGGAGGAGGAGGAGGAGGAGGAAGAGGAGGAGGAAGAAGGTTAGCAGGAGGAGGTCATGAGGAGGAGGAGGGAAAGGAGGAGGAGGAAAAAGGAAGGCGACAACGACGACGGCCACGACTGCGGCGGCGGCAGTGACGACGGAGGCAGGGGCGGAGGAGGAAGACAAGGCATAATAGCTTGTCTACAAGGGTTCTACATTTACGTATGCATAGCTTTATTTACACATGGCGTATGTCGATATGCAACATCCAGGAATACACGGTCCAAGGAACCAGTAGGATTGTTGCCAGTTTGGGAATCGGTGGCGCGATGCGGTCTCTCAATGTCCACCATTGCCTCCAATTGCCCCCCGCTGTCTTCCTTCCACTGGCTATCCGTGTTCGCATCCCTGTCCTTATCCCTCTGCCTCTCATCCTGTCCCTATTCCCCTTCCTTTCTGATCCTGTACCCAGATTCCCATCCCTAAATCCCCAGCCTCATACCCCTACCCCTATCCCTATCCAGATCCCCCCGTCGTGACCCCCCATTGTTCAGAAGCCAGGGGAAGGTAGGCAAACCCGTGGCTGCTAACACGAAGCTCCGGGAATTCGTTTTTTTTCTGCAGGGAAGCAGAACTTTACTAATGAGCTTTATTCCGGGAATTTGTTTGTTTCTTCCGGGAAGACCGTTTCAGCAGCCGCGGATTTGCCAGCCTTCGCCCGGCTTCCGAATTGTGGCCCCCTTCGTAACTGTGTGAAGTTGTTCAGGACTTTCTGCCTCGAGGGCGTCACTTTGCTGAGGAGCCTCTGTGCCGCGACACTGTCCAGGGATGCGCACCCTGACGTGGCGGCTCGCCCGGTCGTGGCGACAAGTCAAGCAGTCGCGATGCGTCTTGGCTTGCCTATAGTCCTGCCAAAGAATGTTCTAAGAACCTTTGTGGCTTCCACGAGATGTTCTCAGAACATGTCTGGATGGGGCTGTCTCGTTTTACATCGGGTTTTTGTTCCAAGAACATTGATAAAAGATTTCGTGGTAGGCCTATAGAAATGCCGGGACGGTCGGTCCCTGCCCAAGCAAGGTTTCCCCACGAGGCCCAGAGAAGGATTCTTTGGGAGGTGGATCGTCCGCCCCCGCCCACCTCCATTGCGGGGAATAGGAGAGGAGCGGTGGGACGGTCAGCAGCAGTGCGATGACGAGGATGGTGGCGGCGGCGACGATGACGATCTCAAGGCTATGGGGTGGGGGGAACCTGACGTCCCAGAGGGGACGACAATGTCAAAACCAGAAGATGTTATTTCAGTATGACGGGTGCGGCCACGAGGCAGCAGCGGCGGCGGCGACGACGACGGGCGACCACGGCGATGGCGACGGTGATGGCGACGACGGACGACGGCGGGCGTAGCGGCGGAAACGACGGCGACGGACGACGGGCGACTTGCAACGGAGACAAGGAGCTGCCGCTGGCGACGGACGACGACGGACGACGGACGACGACGCACGACGGCCGACGCCGACGACCGCCTGTGATTTTTCCAGGCAGTCCACGGGGGCCAGGCCTCCTCCTCCTCCTCCTCCCTCCCTCCCTCCTCCTCCCTCCTCCTCCTCCTCCTCCTCCTCCTCCTCCTCCTCCTCCTCCTCCTCCTCCTCCTCCCTCCTCCTCCTCCTCCCTCCTCCTCCTCCTCCTGGATAGGGTCGGGGGGCTCGGGCGAAAGCTGACGAGACGCCCAAGAATAGACATGCCCATTGCTCGAGCTGTGGCCGCCTTGTCCACGGCCACTGCCGTCGCGGCACGTCATATCGTTATCGTTGTCGTCGTCCGACAGCATCGTTGTCGTCGTCCGTCAACATCGTTCGCGTCGTCCGTCTTCATCGGTACCTGTCACCCCTTCGTCCTCATCATCGTCATCGTCGTCAGTCGTTGTCGTCGCCGTCGTTTGTCGTTGTCGTCGTCAACGTCGTCGTCGTCAACGTCGTCGTCGTCGTCGTCAACGTTGTCGTCGTCGTCCTTCCACGTCAGCATTGTCGTCCGTCGTTATCGCCCATGGCACGTACTCCGTCGTTGTCGTGCGTCGCCGTCGTCCAGCGCCGCCGTCGTCTTCCGCCGCCGTCGCGCCGAGACCAGCGGCCGCGCCGGCGCGCCGCCCCGACGCGGGGAGGCCCGGGCGAGTACCGGGTGGACGTGCCGCAGAGCCTGGCCATGCAGGCCGCCGCCATGCAGGACGGCGTGTCGTCGCCGCCGTCCGCGCCGTCGCCGTCGACGGTTGACGGTCGTTGCCGCCGCCGTCGTCGCCGCCTTCGTCGTTGTCATTGCCGCCGTCGTCGTCGTCGTCGTTCACCGCCCGGGGAGCCAGTGTCCCACGACCCCAGAAGGCAGCAGACATGGATACGGTAGGTTCGCGTCGTGTCGACTGGCGGCGACCCCGCCAGCGGCGTTCAACTTTTGAACGCCGTGGACGACCCAGAGTCGTTCGACGTGGAACGGTTTGGACGTTTCGGAGACGCCCACTCGTTCAAGGTGGAACGTTCCGCGGAGGCAGGAACAAACGCCTGGGTCGACACGACACGAGCCTGCCGTACTTACCTGCGGGCCCCCTGGAGGATCCGCAAGCGGATACCCTAGAAAAACGCCCTGGGCGTTGTTGTCGTTATTTGCTTGCGTTGTCGAGTCTTAAAATAATTGGGGGTAGACAGAACCCCCAACAGTGACACGTCGATTAGTGAATTGTCCGTTTTCGGTTCTCGAGAGGGCGCCGTGGCCGTTATTTTCCAGGCTTGCGCCCGCCAGGTTTGGGCCTCGGGTCGTTTTCGCTAAGTCACGTTTTACTAAAGGGGGGCCTGTCCATCCCCGAAATGATTGTTGTTGTTGTTGGTGGTGGTGGTGGTGTTACCGTTTTGTGCTGTGGGCTCTTGGCAGGCTACAGATGTTTTAACAAACGATGCGTCGTTTTGCTGCGTCTTGAAAAGTCGCTCTTTGTTGGTTGAAGTGTTTTCAGGCCCGTCGTTGTAGATCGCATTTTCCCGCGGTAGTTGTTTTCTTGTCGCAGATAGTCCCTGTCGTCTCCACTCCCGCTCTACCGTTCCTGCTGCATCCCGTTCCTTCCGCTCAACGCGCAGAACAAGCCACCCAACAAAACACCCGAACACCGTTCTAACACGGGCGCGAAACAGGCCCAGAGGCCCCGCGACCAGATGGCCAGCGACGGCCAAATTGAGCAACACATAATTATACAAACATAGGGAGGACAAGTCGCAAGAATAAGGAATTGATGACGTCGCAGACGGCTTTGTTTAACAATGCACTCAACTGGTTGGAACTCGCCAACAAAGCATCTTTAAAGAGGCAGCAAAAAATGGCCCGTTCGTTTAACGGTGCTAGTTTTTGTTGGGATGTTCAAGCGCTGAAGCAATGCTTTTGTCAAGACACCGAGTGAATCACCGTAAAGCGCCCATGCCAGATTCTGGAAGAGGGAAATCGTATCATACCAGTCTGTATCTCCGCCGCCTTCGCCGAAGGCTCTGATTTCTTTTCGCATATCGACTTGTCAGGATCTAGCCAGATAAAGCGAATCCAACGAACCCACGTAAACCGAGGAGTTGAACTGAGGTAAGCCCAGAGATCTGCGTGAAAGTCTGCGAAACATTGGGGACGCTCTGGCGCGAGTTGAGAGAATGTACGTGCCGTCGCGCCCGTAACTATGAGAGAATGTACGTGCCGTCGCGCGTAATAGTTCCCCATATTCTAAGATGGGTTCTTGTTATTACTTGGACGCCTCCTTCCTCCTCCTCTCTTCTCCTTCCTCTTTCCGCCTCCTCTTCCCGCCTCTTTCTCATTCCTATTTTCGTCCCCTCCTCTTGCCGCCTCCTCATACGAGACTTAAGCATGTCCAGACTTACTCACACACAGACTTACTCATACTGAGACCTATTCATATTCAGATTTACTCCTACCCAGACGTACACATACACAAACTATCTCGTATTCAGACTTACTCATATTCAGGCGGGTCTCAGGCGGGGCGCTGGTTTCAGCACCCCGAAGCGGCGCCGCCAGGGGTGTTTGCACGGGCCCGTTCGCGGCCAGTTTGTGGGAGTGTCTCGGGCGGTTTCCTTGTTTTCATGTCCAACATCCTTGGCTTTCAGAGCAGATTCTGAGGATGTCTCAGGCGGGGCGCTGGTTTCAGCACCCCTAAGGGGGGCCGCCAGTGGTGTTTGCACGGGCCCGTTCGCGGCCAGTTTGTGGGGATGTCTCAGGCGGTTTGCTCGTGTTCATGCCCAGCATCCTTGGCTTTAAGAGCAGATTCTGAGGGTGCATCAGGCGAGGCGCTGGTTTCAGCACCCCTAAGGGGCGCCGACAGGGGTGAGACATCAGGCGGTTTGCTCGTTTTCATGCCGCCCAACATCCTTGGCTTTCAGAGCAGATTTTGAGGATGCCTCAGGCGGGGCGCTGGTTTCAGCATCCCTACGGGGACCCGCCAGGGCGTAGGACACGGGCCCGTCGCCCACGTGGACGCGCTAGTATAGTCAAGCGCTCATGAACAGACGCTCGCTATGGCATGACATAAAACGTGAGATGCACATATGGGGAGCTCCACGCAGTGAGTAATTGTATTATTTAGTCCACACGTCAGCTCCGTAAGCTATGGGTCGACGCTCGCGCGGCGATGCTTTGGCGTCAGTCCTACGTAACTCAGACGGAGATCGGGCGCAAATCGGGCCTCAAGCTGCCGCGCGAGGCCTCCAGGATCTTCCTCGTAACCTGTAAGGGTTAAGTTGGGCCTGTCCCCCCCCCCTACAGGGGGATGTTCAACGAAACATAAATTACTCGACGCGGGGCTCCCCATATGTGCATCTCATTCTCTTGGTACGTCTTTCTATTGATATCTGTCAATGATCGCCTGTGTGCGAGGGCGAACCGCTCGCTCGAGACATTCCCACAGTCTGCAAGCATGAGTGCGACCAATAGCAAATCTGAGAGCGACTGATTCTGAGTGTGAGTTAATCTGGGTGCGATTGAGCCTGGGTTTGAGTGGGTATGCGTGTGCGTAAATATGAGCGCGAGTGCGTCTGTGTGCGAGTGGGTCTGAGTATGGACGAATCTGAGTGTGAGCCAGTCTGTGATTGAGCGGATCGTAGCATGATGAGTCTGAGCATGTTTGAGTCGGGCCTTGAGTTGGTCTGAGTGTGAGAAAAAGTGTGTGTTAATGAATCTGAGTGCGAGTGAGCCGAGTGTTGTTGGGTATGGATGTGAGGCAGTCTGAGTGTGAGTCGGTCTGCGTTTGAGCGGACCGAAGGATGATGAGTCTGAGCAGGAGCGAGTCTGAGTATGAGTGGTTCTGAGCGTGAGTCTGAGTGTGAGTAAGTTTAAGTATGGATATGAGCGAGTCTAAGTGCGAGTGAGCCTGCGTGTGACTGAGCCTGAGTATGAGTGAGTATGAATGCAGAAGAGTGAAGGAGAGCGGAGAGCGAAGGAGAGTGAGGCGGAAGCGTTTGAGTAAAACCTAAGGCCTTGGATCATCGAACCTCGATCGTCTGGCCCTGGCTACTCGAGTTGCCCACGTCCTCCTCCTCCTCCTCCTCATCATCATCATCATCATCATCATCATCCTCCCCTTCCTGCTTCTGCTCCTACCGTGTTCATGCTGCCCTCCTCCTCCTCCTCCTCCTCGTCCTCGTCCTCCTCCTCCTCGCTTCCTCCTTCTCTTCCTCCTCCTCCTCCTCCTCCTCTTCCTCCTCCTCCTCCTCTTCCTCCTCCTCCTCCTTTGGAGTGCTGAAACCAGCGAATCGCCTGAGACATCCTTCCAAAACTGCTCCGAAAACGACAGATGCCCAGCATCATAACGGCCAAACCGCCTGAGACATCCCCGCAAACTGGGCGCGAACGTCCTCCAAATCTGTTCCGAAAGCGAAACATGTTGGAAGAGAAAATGGCCAAACCGCCTGAGACATCCCCACAAAATCTGGCGAAAGGGGCCGAGTGAAATATCCCCCCGCCGCTCCCCTTAGGAGTGCTGAAACCAGCGAATCGCCTGAGACATCCTCCAAATCTGCTCCGAAAGCGAAACCTGTTGGAAAAATGAATGGCCACACCGCCTGAGACATCCCCACAAAATCCCGCGAAAGGGGCCGAGTAACATACCCCCCCGCCGCTCCCCTTAGGAGTGCTGAAACCAGCGAGTCGCCTGAGACATCCTCCAAATCTGCTCCGAAAGCGAAACATGTTGGAAGAGAAAATGGCCAAACCGCCTGAGACATCCCCACAAAATCCCGCGAAAGGGGCCGAGTGAAATACCCCCCCGCCGCTCCCCTTAGGAGTGCTGAAACCAGCGAATCGCCTGAGACATCCTCCAAATCTGCTCCGAAAGCGAAACATGTTGGAAGAGAAAATGGCCAAACCGCCTGAGACATCCCCACAAAATCCCGCGAAAGGGGCCGAGTGAAATACCCCCCCGCCGCTCCCCTTAGGAGTGCTGAAACCAGCGAATCGCCTGAGACATCCTCCAAATCTGCTCCGAAAGCGAAACATGTTGGAAGAGAAAATGGCCAAACCGCCTGAGACATCCCCACAAAATCCGCGAAAGGGGCCGAGTGAAATACCCCCCCGCCGCTCCCCTTAGCAGTGCTGAACCAGAGAATCGCCTGAGACATTCTCAACATCAGTGTGTGTGTGTGTGAGTCATCCGATGAGTGGACCTGAGTGAGTGTAGTGAGTGTATGAGTACAAGTACGAGTGAGTCTGAGTGATGAGTGATGAGTCTGAGTCATGACTGAGTCCGGGTGATGAGTGAGTCTGAGTGATGAGTGAGTCTGAGTGATGAGTGGGTCTGAGTGATGAGTGAGTCTGAGTGATGAGTGAGTGGGTCTGAGTGAGAGGAGTGGTGTGTTCTCTCTCCGCCGGCGCGGTCCGCCAATTATTCACTGCGTGGAGCTCCCCATATGTGCATCTATTCGCATGGACCTGTCCGCCGTGAATGTCTAGGCGCAAGAGCTTTCGAATATACACGGGCTTCAGTTGTGACGGTCTGGACATAAATCTAACTGCGAATGAATTGGAGTGTGAATGAGCCTCAGTAGTACGAGCGCGTCTTTGTGCATGAGCCTGGGGCCTCCTGGGGCCTCCTGAAACCTACTGGGGCTTCCTGGGGTCTCCAGGAGCCTCTTGGGGCCTCCTGGGACCTCCTAGGGAGGTTTCGTGCCCCAGGAGAGGCGCAATCTATAGCA